AAGTCTTGTCAACAAAGTGATGAGAGTCATGTGTGAGCTTCTACATGCTTTCATGATGGGATCATGTTTTTAGAAATATAATCATCATAACCACATCTTTGTCTTTATCTAAATAAATCATGTACTCAAGGTACCAGCTCTGAAGCCCCTGGAACATTTTATTTTCGGCTGACCATTGCATTCGTTATGTTTGAATGCACTGGGAGACTTATTTCTTTGAAGTTATTTGAATCTGCTCTTAGTCTATGATAGAAAAAGGTTAAGATTGCAGTATGAAAATTGTGATATATTTCATTTGATTTTAAAATTGAATGTGGGGCTACAGAGAATTGAGTCTTCATCTGTCCTAATTTTTCTCCAAACTTAAGCTGGACTTGACTCATGAAGCAGTGAATGTTCAAATCTGAATTCCATCTATTAGCCTGCATTTATTAGGTCTGGGATAAAGTATCCGGAACTTTTAGTGGGTTAAGCTTGAGGGGTTCGTGCCGTGCCGGCTATGCTTGTTCTGTTGCTGTTATGTATGAAAAGAAAGAGGCTGAAAAGCTCTGTAAAATTTTGTATATTTGCCGTATATAGGATTCAGGTAAAAGTTTTCTCTCTCGATTGAAGAATGCGGCTTGACGACCACATCCGTCATTGCTTACTTCTCCCGTTCGATAAGGGACACAAGACGAACGACTCGGTCCGTCGCATAAAGAAGTTGTACCCCGATGACTGTTTAAGCAAATCCACGGCATACGAATGGTTTGAAAAGTTTTTACACTGAGATCGAACTCTTCAAGATGAACTCCATTCTGGACACCCATCCGTCATTGAAACCGATGCGCTGAGGTCCATAATCGAAGATGATCCGCACCAAACCACGTCTGAATTGGTGAGCAAACTTGGCTGCGACCGTACAACCGTGTCCAATCACCTTCACACCATGGGAAAGGTGCGCAAACTGGACAAATGGGTCCCTCACAAGTTGTGCGAAACCGAGAAGATTCAACGAGCGACCATTTGCACATCTTTGCTGTCGCGTTGCAAGGAAGACCCGATGTTTGACCGAATCATCACGTCAGATGAGAAGTGGGTTCTCTTGGCTGGATCCTGATGAACCCCCGAGCAAAATGCCAAAACCCGACTTACACCCAAAGAAGGTTCTTTTCCTGCATTTGGTGGGCCCGTTTCGGCGTAGTGCAATACGAGCTCCTGAAGACCGGCCAGTCCATCAACGCAGATGTCTACTGCACACAACCACAACGTGTCCAGGAAGCCCTGCTTAAATCTCGGGCCGCATTGGTCAATCGAAAAAGGTCCTCTTGCAAGACAACGCAGACCACACGTCGCCAAAAAGACTCAACAAAAATTGGAGAACTTCGGCTGGCAAGTTCTGCCACATCCATCGTATTCACCGGACGTAGCACCATCGAACTACTACCTATTCAGGTCGCTGGACAACTTCATGTTCAAGAAGCAGTTCTCGAACGAAGGTGCACTCAAAAACGCACTTGATGGTTTCTTTGGCTCACGGGAAGCGGTGTTTTTTTGAGAGAGGAATCGATTCTCTTAAGGAAAGATGAGAAAAAGATTGTGATTATTTTTTTGATTGTGATATTTAGATTGTGAGGGAGATTATTTTGATTCATAAAGTTTGTTTTATAAAAAGTTACAGTGTATCTAAGGTATGGGTAAAAAAGTTACGGATACTTTTTCCCAGACCTAATACTTCTCAGGTTGAGCATGTTTGTGCCTGAAATGGATAACCTAAAAAGAAAAGAACACACCAGCTATTGAGTAATCAAGATAATCATTTCTGTTTGGCTCATTCTTGGTGAAGTTTTGGGAAATTGAACTATCAGAATAATCTTCACTACTTCTACTTGTCAGAATTTTTGGGACTTAGCTGCTTAAAGAACAGGAAGATGGAAACAATGCAAGGAAAGCAGAGGAAAATGCTGGCTGCCATTTATGTTGCTGGCATTGTTCTGAAGTATGAGTAATTTTGTGGGATGGACTGCATACCCTGGAGTCTGAGCTACCCTCCTCCACGTGAATAGGAAAAGTTGGATTGAGCTGACAGAGACATGCAGCAAAGCAAGTGCATTGGGACAGGAAAGGCCCAGTTGCCACATTGCCAAATCTATGCACCCTTACCTTATGCTGTCAGTGATTGAAGCTCATATGAACTATTTGTTTACCTCACCTGCCTGTTGCCAGGTGAGGGAACACCCCAGCTCACGTACTTCTCTTGATCCTCCATGTCATTCCCTTCAAGGCTCCACAATTAGACAAAGATTTACAAGTTCAGGTTTGATGGTGCACAGATTTGGCTCATTTCTCTGGACCACTGCCATCTGTACAAATGGCACATTCAAATGTGAGAAATTCACAAGGTTTAATCTAATTTATATATTTTTCTAAACCATTATTTTTTATATGCCTGAAGTCGATCAAGAGGTTTGTAATTTGATTTGTAATAGGTTTGAGCCTTAAAGACCTCCTTTTCTTGAAATAGAAACAGGAAATCTTCACCATAAGCCAAGAACTAGAATAAGTGGTGGAAGACTTTTCTCTGGTTATGCAAAATTTTTGTTTACTGATGTTACATGAAGGTTTCTTCTATCATTAGCTGTGAATGGAAAGTAAGGTGAAGGTTACTCATCAGACCACTTCTGATTAACCTGTACTTGCAAGCAATTTTGGGTTGTGGTATAAGAAGGAGCATGGAATGGATTCAGAAGGTGCATCAGTTAATAGAAATGGTGAAAAACTGGGACTACAACTCAATTTTGAAAACATTTCATGAATTGGCAACAATTTTATAGGTCATTGGTGATCTTTGCTACTGAGCACCTGATATTGATGCTGTATCTGCCTGAATGGAACTTTGCCATCAGTCATTTTTAGTTAAAAATTTGTTCCTCATTGAAGTAATACATAATTTTGAAATTCATTTTAGAGTCATAAGATTATTTTGTGATTCCTAGTGCTCTCAACATTGGGTTACTTTCAATTCCTCAGGTGCACTGAGTATTTAAATTCCTATACCCTGCAGTAGAAAGAGCAAGGAAAAGTTATGAATGGGAAGAAAGTGTTGGTGATAGGGGGTGGAGGAAGGGAACATGCCCTCTGCTGGAAGTTGGCACAGTCTCCTTGTGTTGACACAATCTTTGCTTCCCCTGGGAATGGAGGAACTTACATCACTCGAAGAACCTCCAATGTCATAGTGAACCTCAAATCTCATCCAGTCAGTTCTCCTTTCACTCCCTCATATACTGCTTTCTTTCATTCTGTGATGAACCTCAAGTATTGTTTGCCAAATCACTCCTTACTTTCATTTGTATGCCCCTTTTCCTTTCCTTCCTTGAAGTCTTAACAAGCCTGTCATAGGTACAACAGGAATACTNGATCAACAATTCTACCACATTGTAATTGATTCTTTGTAATTAACTATCTTATAAAGATTTCATGAGGGGCTATAGAAGTATTTTAAGATATTCAACTGTACCAATCTTTTTTCTTGAAACTGAGCCAACTTTCTAGTTGAGATAGTATACTGTGGTACTGTCAATAATTAGTGTGGGTCCTTAGGTGTAAAGGACACTCATTGTATTTTTCATCACCTTTGCTCAAGATCATACAGATGGCATAGGTATATTAATGGAAGACTCAGGTCAAGGTAATATGTAATGATTTAGTTTTTGGTGAAGGAGGGTAAAAGATAAATCATCTTAATATAAAAACTTAACTATCAATATGTACCACTTTTCCTCACTTTTTTAACGTGATAGTCACTGGAATATTCACTCTTTCTGTGTGGAGCTTGAGACAAGAAATCTTTGCAGATAGACCACTTTGCTTTTCAGACTTTCAAATGTCCCAAGCTTTAGCATATCAAACCCCTTCAATAGCCACAGGGTCATGTTGGATTTCTGCTTTAAGAGCTGGGAAGTCAAATTTTGAGTATGACAATAGATCTGTGTTCTACATTTGCTATTAATCAAGAAAAGGATGCAGTCATGTAATCTAGAAGCAGATTCAAGAGGCCTTGCAGATAAATGTAAAACAAGTGGTTAGCATTATCCTGCCTGAACATCTTGAACTGAAGAAAATATGTGCCAGGTGGATTCTCCATGATGCCAGCAACCAGTAATAGTAACTCATGGAATTTTGCAAAATCTTTCTTGAAATTTTTTATGGAGAAACCTCTAGGTGTGTTTAGGACATTGTCACTAATGACAAGCTTAGATATATCATGATTTATCAACAAAGAAGCAGATGGAAATTGGATTTTCAAAGGTGAGCCCAAGCCAGCCTCTATTGAGAGTCCCAGGAATGTCAGGAAAGCAATGTGGTTTTTCTTCACAAAAATTGAGTTTTGACATTTATGCTCTTGAAATTGGTTTTTGGAAACTCCAGAGTGGTACATTTCCTGTCCATTAGCCTATCAAAGGTTTTGCATGACCCAAGAATTCTACTGCAAGCATGGTTCCTTCCCCAAAACAAGTTCTTGGCCCTCCTGGAAAATGAAAAAATTTAGTTACTGGGGAAGGATGCTATTTAACTATTGCTGCACCCACTCTATTCCCAAGATCTCAATTCCCTGTTATTTTTTTCTCATCCCTAATGAGTGTGAATCTGTGAATAAAATCTTTGGAAGCTTCAGTTAAAGTGACTTTAAAACTCCTTTCAGAAAAAGTTTCTGAGAATGAGATCTTCATTAATAAAGAGGCTAATTGGATAGGAATAGGAGGACTCTAGCCCTCATGTTTTTAGTAACTTTTTGAATCAGTTTCAGATATGATGCTCATGTCTTTGTTTATAGTGCTTCATATCAGGCATTGGTGGTGAAGGCAAGTGGACTTGCAGGAGGGAAGGGTGTGATAGTGGCAGAGGAAAAGGAGGGTGCATGCAAGGCTGTTGATGACATCACACAGGAGTTTGGTGATGCCGGTCGAGTGATCATCATCGAAGAATGTCTTGAAGGCCAGGAAGTCTCGGTCTGTCCCATGCACCTTTTCTCCTACTTCCCAAAGTAAACCTGTCTTCTGACATTTTCTTGGTCATGTCTTGGATGAAGAGCCTTGGAGGTCATTCCCCATTCATTTAATATTTGAATTCAGTTTTATAATAGAAGAATTTTTGCAATGAGGGGTAGAAGGTAGAAAGGGTTGATGAATGTAATGTTATAATGTTGTAGACTATGAAAGGTGACATTAGGTAACGGTGTAGCTTCTGGTGAGAATCATGGTAATGGCAGAGGTCAGGACCCTTTTGCTTTAAATCCTGGTAATCCTAATGATGCTGACATTTCAGGTGATGGCTTTTAGCGATGGGAAGGAGCTGAAGATGATGCCAGGGGTTGGGGACCACAAACGCTTGTGTGATGGAGACAAAGGCCCCAATACAGGGGGAATGGGGGCATATTGCCCATCCCCATTCCTTACCCCTGAAATTCTTAGAAGGATTCATCATGAGATCCTGGAGAAAACCATCTTGGCGTTACAGGATGAAGGCATTCCTTTCATAGGTATGAAGTGCCTCAAGTTGAGACTCTTTTGTCTTAATTTTACATTTCTACTTTTCTCAAGTGTTGGATTGTGCTCCAAGGACCTATCACTGCCCCTCCAGTCAACAGTCACAAGGTGACAGTTGAATATACTTTTTACATGCGGTGCAAGTGCAGCGGCATCTATGTTGACATTGGTTCAGCATTTTAAAAGTCTAATTTGGTGGTTTTATTTGGGCTGTCAATTCAAATAGATTAATCGACCGATTATTCAATTAAAGTTTCAATTGAGATTTTAAAATTTCGTTGAGATTAATCGAATTTCAACCTACCCCCATCTCCCCCCAATCTGCCCCAGAATGCCTCTATCTTTCGTAAAATTTGACTGTGTAGTGCATAGTCTTGCACAACTGAAAATAAACGCTTTGTCAAGGGAATGAAATGAAATGATGGCTTGAAGAAGGAAGTAGATTTCGCACTGCTCGCTCTTCAGCAAAAATGACCTACATTTTTGGAAGGAGGCTCACAAAAGCAAAGCCATCGCTTTCAATATGTTCCAAAACGAAGCTCATCAGGAAATGAAATATAAAGTCAGAATGAAGAAGCTGGAAGGAACGCGTGGAAGAGGAGATTCGGGCAAGGATCACGCTGCTAGAGCCGCGGGAAAGACGTTAATATAAGAACTGGGGAGCGAGAAGCGTGCGTGTAAATGCGTGGGTGAAGGTTTGTGAGAGCCCCGCGAAAGCAGCGGGAAGAGGGGGAGAGCCGGGGGCAGGCGAGTGAAGAAACGAGCATGAAACCCTCTGCTACTCCCTGTCTTTTACACTTCTGCTTTCCATCCTGTGTTGCCCGTGATTCCATATTGAATCTTCAAATCTCCGCGTGATGTAGTGTTACTCTATACCTGAATTCATTCAAGTTACGTTGTTGCATCCTTCCGGTATGGGTTGGCTAACTGGCAAAGGGCTTCCCGTGCGTTTCTTTTCTTGAGTTTAATTCAATTGACTCTCTGCATTTATCAGCACTAAGCCACATTCAACGAAGAATTAGGTATAGATTAAAATTCGATTTATCGATTACATTTTGAAAATAGATTGACAGCCCTAGTTTTATTTGTTGCTAATCTTAATTAGAAAGCTGGAGCCTTCTCCAAGAGTTAATCTCTATTGAAAGTTCATGGAGTCCCCTTTTGAAGGCTGAGGAAGAATCTTGGTTTGTGATGCTGCGTACAGGAGTTTTGTATGCTGGGATCATGCTGACAAAGAATGGGCCAAAGGT